CGTTGTCCATAATTATAAGAGAAGGTTCCTCCAAGTTCGGGAGCAATTGTTGTTCAAACCACTTCTCAAAGTTAAGGCAATTCATGGAGTCATGATAGTCTCCGGACTTGCTACCAGATTTAAAAATTAGACTTGCGTGTGGTACAAATCCATCTTATGATCCTGCATGGAGTATTATGTACCGGACCCCTTCACTACTTTTTTTTCTAACTGTTTTGAGAGTACCATCTTGCCAGCTTCTTCTAAAAGACCCTTTACTGTATATCCAGGTTTTGTCTAAAACCACAGGTCGTAATGGAAAGAGTGAAGTTTCGTTGTGTTTAAAGTCCCTCAAAAATTGTAGTCTTCTTTGAGCTACATAGGGTTGTTCCATTAAAAATAATCTATTAGAAACGGTGCATCTCCGCCACGTGAATTTCAGTTTCTTCAAACTGCGGGACAAAGAGGTAGCAGATATTTCTACGCCATCAAGTCGTTGAAGATTACTGTGTAAAGAACGGAGTGTAACATTCTCACTTATAAAATCAATTCAATAAGTGTTCTAGCGAACCTCTTCATTTGAAGCAAATCTTCCCTTAGAACATAAAGAATGTTATTTACCTGTCGCATACATTGCATAAATCCGTGTCCTTATTACATGTTCATGTATTTCATGCAGCGGAGGTCCGTGAGATAAACTAATAGCCACACTTTCTTGCGATTTGTAGGTAATAATCATCTTTTTTAACACCTCTTGTACTAATTCTTTTTACAGTCGACTCGACAACGATACACCCAGAGCAGCACAAACCCTCTGTGATTAAGTAAGCATATAATTATAGCAAACGCATAGGAAACACTTAAGTACATCATATACTGCGCTTACGGGTAATAAAGTTTTGCCTGCTTCTTTTTCCCTTTGGAACACAGAGAAAAATTTTTAACCTCATATCAATGACTGTCGTGTCTTGACTTGAAAACATCAGCACAATGTACTTTTACATTGGTATGATGTAATGTTGGTATAGAATCAATGCTATTCAATCATCAGTTAATAACCTTGGGCGTTAATGCTAGGACTACGCAACCCTTGCGACAAGGTTGTACATTCATTCGGTTGATGTGAAATTGTATCTATTGTAGTAGTTTTACATACTGACAATGTAAATTTTGCCTTACGGTGATGCCTACAAATGTTTGAAAATTGTGTACTTTTCATTAACAGAAGTTATTGTTTCAATGAATCTTATAATCGATTAATGCAGGCAGCATGCCTTCCACCAATGTATAGGTAGGTACTACGTTTCAAGTAACACATATGCGTTAAATTATCATAAGAAAAAATGCAAATTGTTTTGAGATACAGCATTGAACTTAGTAACTTGCAAGTTGCAAGGAAACCAGAGTTTCAATGTAGGTATTCACAAGTTGCTGGACGATTGTTGCAGATAATCACACCAGCAGAAAAGATGTTAAAAAAGTCTGCGGGTAGCCGCATGACTTAAACGCATTTTTGGTGTGTAGATCAGTGACATTACCGATTACAACAATATAAATATCCGGCGGACACATAACTTTTAAGCACAAAGCTAACGCAAAAAACCGGAAGTCTCTATCTATTGTAGTTTTCGAGAACTCAGAGATCACCAGCCGGCCAAAGTGAGACTATAAGCTGCACTTTTGTTCCAAAAATGCGATATAATATATTTGTGGGGAAGACATCAATACCGAGTTTTATAAGCTCATACTTCCACCCCAATTCGAGATGATGGAATTCCAAAAGTAATGCTGAGAGCATTATGCGGGTCACTCTGTAATATAGGGGCAAGCCTGTTGACGGCCCAGTACAATAAAATTTAAAATAATTAATAAATCTATTGTGCTTCCAGTACTGGATACCAAGTTGGTATATTCTCACCTTCGAAAAGAGATTAAAACCTATTTCCAATCGTAGTTTGCAATATTATTCCATCAGAACCACTGAAAGCACAGTACGACAACATATTCATAAGGTAGAGTTTTAATTGCCTTTTGGAGAAGAAAATAAATGAATATGCATTTCCCTATGGCTATGGCCACTCTTAAAACGATAAAAAGGTTTTCGCCATAAGGCCAGTAACATTAGCGCATTTACCATGAATTGATCAGTACCTCCCAAAAGGTCATATAATGGACTATTTAAAGGAAAATAAGTTAAGCATAAATATTTTTATAAATAAGAAACTTAGCATTGCGTTGCGCGCACCTGATGTTTACAATATGCGATTTGTTTGCCTGTACTAGCTAGAAGCTTCTTTGGTTAAAATTTTAAAGAATTATCTCCACAAATAAGAAAGTTGGCATTACCCAGTCTGCGCATGAGCAGGATTTTTACTATACCTATGAGTAGTTAAGGTCTCCGACGGACGGACGGACAGAGAAAGTGGAATAGCGCACCCAACTTCGTTCAAAAATGCGCTAATCAGTAATCACTGTATGTGTGTATAATAAGCTGATGTTCCAAGTTCCAAGCCTTTTATGCTTCATTTATTATGCCACTCTTGGTTTTACTTTATCAAGGTACCGACCAATGACGCGTCATTTTGTTATGTTTGAACTACCTCAAACGCAGGTTATTGTGCCTTGAAATAATAATTCCTTGCCTGAAATCAAGGCGCACACTCGCCCATGTATATGTAATCTGTTGATGTTTCAAGTTGTTGTATTAATGTTCCAGTGTCTTGAACCAAGGTCCGTCTTCCACTCAGTAATGCACGAATGCATCATATTAAGGACACTGCCTCAACCGAAGGGTTAGGTGCCTTGAAATAATAATCAGACGTCTCAAATCAAGGCTCGCAATCCTTGTTACAACGCCTACATGTCCTAGTGACCTGGGTTTTAGCCTATGCCACGCACTATTCAATTATTTCGCGATTCGTAACGAAAAGAGCGTAGTGTTTGAGTGTTGCTGCAGGTTACAGTCATTTGGAGAATACGAACAAAAGGTACGATCATTGAAAATTATCTAATTTAAAAAAAAAGAGTGCATGATTTGTTAAATATTAAAAAGAGAACGCAGTCGTCCTTGCCCAAAATTCGGGGAAATCAGTTATTTTAATAAACATCCGCCGGCATAGAGGCACAATGTACAATATAAATACAGATTCACTTTCGCTGTTTGGTAATTTAATATTACCTATACGGATTAATTATTGTACCGCCTCTCTATGCAACAAACGCCGACTCTGCAGCCGGACGTTCCAAAATAAACAATAATTAATAATGGCTTGGTCTCTGTGAATGTGAACTCTCAATGTGTCGTCGCAGGTATAGGTGCTAGGAGCATTCGAATACCTCCTGAAATTTTAATTTGAAAACAGTGAACCTGTGAACGCGATATTACAGTTAGTGATCCATTTTTTAATTTCTTATACATAGATGACTTGTGGGTGGGAGCTGCAGTCAATTACTTGTATGTGAGTAATAATTGTTACATATATACCAATTTGATCCAAGCATCAGGTTTTACTATATTTAAATCTCAACTTCGATCTGCTATCAATGAAATAGGTACTCTCAAACAAAAGCGGGACGCATATTTGTAAGCAGAAGACGCGTGCGCCAAAAGACGCGAGCCGAAGTAGAGTGGTATACAGCAGACGAGTCAGCAAAACCACTTGGTAAACAGCAGACACGTCGGAGTAGGTTAAGACCTGTACCTATATAGCAGATGAAAAAGTTGGATTTTTGCCAGACGCGTCTGAATAAAAGGACAGGGCTCGGCTCTTTACTTTTGTATAAATATACAGGAATATTACACTATAAATAAATAACACTAACATTGATTTGCCATACTTTTTTGGGATAGCCTATATAGCATGTTCTTATCTACAATCTAATCTACAATTAGTACAAATTCAGGTCCAAAAGGAAAAATTATAAGAAAAGGTAGTGGTCTTCCCCATTTTGGGGAAGACCACTAGGTACCTTTTCTTATATGTAATAAATTAATATACACCCAAAAAATATGGATCAAACAATACACCAAAAGGATGCGCGCCTGACACCATTAGCGTTCTCTATGTCAACGTGGTCTAATATTACAAAAGATTTTTGTACAAACATTTTAAATTAAACTTACCTCTACCTCTTATTTACTGAAGAGTTTGCAGACGATCACGCTATTTTCCTTAACACTTTTATATGCGTAATTCTTTGGCCATTTACGCATTCGGCATTTTTAAGGTATAAAGTGAAAAAGCCGACGTATCAGGCAGACAGCTGACGCCTTACCTGATATATGAATATAAAAATAAAAATGTCTGTGCTGCACTTCCTCCAGTAAACAGCAGACGTGTCAGGCCCAGGCGGATTCTGGCGGACGCATCTGCTAAATATTAACATTCTTCGAGCAGGGCGAAATTTACCGAAAGGATAACGCGTCTGCTATTTACAAATATGCAAGCGGGACGCGGGGAACGGAATCAGTGCGCATTGTAATTTCACAACGGGAAATGCAACTAAACACATTTGACACTGCAGCGGTATCCCGCTTTGTAAAATGCGCTTCTGCAAAATTTGTACTACTATTTTTCATTTCCTAATTTCAGAGAAACTCGATCCGATGTGATTTCAACGTCTCTTTCTTTGGATTTATCAATGTCAGAATAAACTACGAAAGTATCGATTGCCCAAATAGGTAACACATTTTTGAATTGCTGCTAAGTACTGCAGCTACAGACCATCTACAAGCTTACTCAGTTAGTTAATTCTATGGTGATTCCCTATATTTCTATTGCATTGCATTAAAAGTTCTACCTGTACGATGTTGTGCTTCCTATGTAAAAGGCAATTTAATACTCTAAAAATATTGATTCAACATTTCAAAAGAGTGCATGATTTAGGATCAAGCTCTTTATTTACATGTTGTGAATGTGAGCGAACTTATCAGTACTTGGATAGATTTAAAAAACATGTGAATCAGAAACATATTCGTAATGCTATTAAATTAGTCGATTCTGAATCTACATCCTCAACCACTAATCCAACTTCACCATCACCACCAAAAACACCAACACCAAAACCACCAGAACCACTACTAACAACACCCACTGAACCAATATCATCACCTCCTCCTCCATCACAATATCCTGTGGACTTTAAGTTTGAAAATATTAAGAATGGATTAACTCAATCTTTGCTGTTGTTTATACTTGAACTACACAACAAAAGTAATTTTTCTAGAAAAGATATATCTTACGTTCAAAATGCTATGACCAAACACGTAGTTACCGCATTTGTGCAATTGTTCAAGGAATTGCATAGTTACCTCAAAAGAAGCAATAATACTGAGCTCTGTGAGGAAATATTGGGTATAATTTCGGCTTTAAGAAATCCCTTTGAGAGTTATAATTCAGAACACTTGCTTCACAGGTTGTTAAAGTATAATGACTATGTTGGAGATATAAAACATTATACATTATGTAATGAAGTAGTTGCAATTCATCGACAAGGAGGTTTAACTTATGATGAGAAAAAACTGTCAGGTGTTTTGATGCCACTTCAATTCCAATTTCGGAAATTTTTCGAAAGGGGAAACTTACTAAGAAACATGCAAGACTACATGAATCGGCTCAAAACTTGCACAAAAATGAAAAATTTCATTCAGGGCAAATTATGGGCTGAGAAAACTAAGCTCTATCCAAATAAAATTCTCATTCCATATTTTGTATATATTGACGACTTTGAAATCAATAACCCGTTGGGGTCACGTGCCGGATTGCACTCTGTATGTAATGTTTATTATTCATTTCCGTGTCATCCGATAGAAAATTCAAAATCTGAAAATGTATTCCTAGCAGCATCTCTGAAATGTAAAGATATTAAATCTTTGGGTAATGATGTGTGTTTTAAGCACCTAATAAATGAATTAAAACTTTTGGAGGAGACGGGAATTTTAATTGAGGTTGAAGGTAAAAGTGAAGAAGTGCATTTCGTAATAGCTTTAGTAACGGGCGACAATTTGGGTTTAAACTCATTTTTAAATTTCAATAAATCTTTTTCCAGTACCTCATTCTGTAGGTTGTGCAAAACAAATAAAATTGAATGTCATAAGCAAGTAATAGAGAATTCTGCTTCTATGCGAACAATAGAAAATTATGAGGATGACTTGGACTTGAATAACCCTGCGTTAACAGGAATCAGGAGCGAATGTATATTGAATGAAATTCCGTCATTTCATGTGGTCTCTAATTATTATGCAGATGTTATGCACGACGTATTTGAAGGTATTTGCCACTACAACTTTTGCCATGCTCTATTATACTTTATCCAGCAAATGAAATATTTTGATATAAGTACTTTTAACTTGCGGAAAACACATTTTGAGTATGGACCCACTGAAATCGAGAATATACACAATGCTGTCATAGAACTGAAACATATACAAAAAATGAAATTAAAAATGTCTGCTAGACAAATGATGACTTTCACTCTATATTTTCTTATTATGATGGAGGATTTGGTTCCAAACGACGATCCGGTCTGGAATTTTCTTGTGAATTTTGTTGAGATAGTAGACATTTTACTATGTTTTGAAATAGATGACACAACAATCAATCTTCTAGAACATAAAATCAAAAAACATAACTCAGATTTTGTGATATTATTCAATGACACTCTGAAACCTAAATTTCATAATTTGGTCCATTACCCCACAATCATACGACAATCTGGACCATTACGTAATTTTTGGTGTTTCAAGTATGAGTCATTTCATCGACAGTTCAAGATTTATTCTAATTGCATTACCTCCAGAAGAAATATATGTCTTAGTTTGTGTAAAAAATATGAATATAGATTTGCATACAATATATCAAAGTCGGATAACAATACTCTTTTCACAGTTAATAATTTACATCAAACGGAATGTAATTATGCAACATTGATTCGCAATAAACTGAATATTAACATGGACTGCCTGAAATTCTTCGACGAGATGATCTATAAAGGTGTAAGATATTCTTGTAAAGGTTACTTTGTTTCCACATTCGAAAATGATATTGCATTTTATGTCATATTGAAAATTATTGTGATTAACAATGAATCTGTACGACTATTTTGCCAAAAATTGAGAGATGTTGAGTTTAAAGAGCATTTTATCGGTTATCTAGTTGATACTACTAATTTAGGATCAATTTCAATCCTTTCCATGAACGACATAGTAGGACCTCCAATCACTGTAATCAAATCACCTAGAGGTCAGACTATTTTGAGACCAAAAGAGTTTTTTAGAAGCATCTAATTTCCACAAATTACGATCTAATCTATTCATTATAATTAAGCTGTTGTAGACGTCGATTCCTTGTATAAACTGCAAATTTAGCCTACGGACATTCATGGAGTCAAATCAACTGATAAGTCGAAATAAAGTGGGGGAACTGTAAAATAATAACTCAAATATAACGTATTTTCTTCTCAGCTTGTACGGTTTTTCGTCCCCGTTTCGACTAAAAATAGAGAAAACCACTAGTTCACATAGAATGACTTGCAGTTTGTACAACGAATGAACGTCCTAAACCAGACTCACGACTCTTTCCAATTTATTATATTTCTGTTATTATGTATCTCTGAACTATTTCTCTGAGAAAATGGTACTGATAAGGGAGCATACGTACGATTTTCATATACAGGTTGAGCTTTCAAAATTAGCAATGGAAACTTTGGAATTCGGGATCAACGAAAATGATGAAGAATATGGGTTTTTAATGAACAACAGTAGCCTAAGAAGAGCCTTGTCAGCGGACCTTACTGCGTCTGATTCCATTCTCCTTGACATAACAAACAGAGAAGACAACCAAATGAGCGCTTGCTTGAGCGCTGATGTTCTAGAATTACAGACATTATTGACTAACTGGAAGCTTGATCGTTTGCTGAATCATTTAGTAGCTATGTCAAGTCTCAAAATTATGTAATTTACAATCTAAATAGTGAACTAATTTGCATGATCCAAATAAATAATTCTGTACCTATATATCGATGGTGTTTTGTCAAAACATCGTAAGCGCCAAATGTTACTTTTTACAGGAAACGACTTTTTCTGATAGCAACTGTATTTCATGTCGTATCGCAATGAAATTTTATACGGCGTTTTTTTTTATCATTAAAACTCGTTTACAATGGTTATTTTAAAAAAAAATTTGATTTTTTAAGCAATTTTGGTTCTTACGATGTTTTGCCAAGAAAATATTAAAATTGTGTTTTAAATCTTAGCCGCTTACGATACACATACGATGTTCTGCTCGTTTCTGGATGTGAATTTCTAAATAATTATAGGCTCAGCTATTTGTTTCTAAGAAGTAATGAAATTATAAACAAATAGGTCAATTGTTTATAAATGGAAGTAAATAAAAACAACAAAATAAACAACATAATTCTAGGAGCTCTGCTTGGACAAATCTCAGTCTCAACTTTTTCATCCTCTTCATCCGTTTCTGCCAATGTATCTTCAACCTCTATCGTACCCTTAAAATTTTCGTATTCTTTGTGGTAGCGTTCTGGAATCACGCGCTTGGCACATAGGTCCATTAAATTCTTTAACTTCAAGGCAGAAATTGGGAGCGGTGATGGATATAAATTTCCTATTTTCGGCATTTCTAGGAGACTGCTGGCTGACCTTTTAGCTATAAACAAAAGCATAAGCATTTATTATAAAACATCATAATTTATACTAACATTTACGTGGTTGACGAAGTTCTACAGTTTGTTGTCCGTCGCAGTCCAAAAAAGAATATTGAATTTTAATGACATCTTCACCTTTTTTGAAAGAAGCAATTCTTAGCTGACTCAGTAAAATTTTTTCTCCTTCTTTTGTTTTATTAATTTTGTTTGGTAATACATTTTTAGCCGCTTCTTTCCAAGACATGAAATCGGTATGCTTCATATTAATTACCTCAAAAGGTGTATGATTAACCCTCGCATTAGCGATTAAAGTATGCCATTCCGATGGCGCCCAAACGGTGCGTTTGTTAATGAAGCGTTCTATTGTTGCATGGACCGAGTCTACGGGCATGTACGTATGTCCCGGAAGAAGAAACACTATTTTTATATGATGGACGTTCTTGGAACTTTTTAAAAATTGATGCAACATACTCAACATGGCCCTGTTTCTATTCTGCCCGGAGCAGCTATCGCAGTAAAGCACAACGAATTTGACAAAAACACGCTGGTCAACGTCTTGCAAATATTTATTTATAATTGTGCAGATCTCATCGCAGCCACGATTACCGTCGGTTTCACCCCACAAATAGCAAAACGTGCGCCTTGTTCCACTTTCATATACTGTTTCATTGTATACCGCGTATTTCCGTGAGTAATATAACAGCATATTATCACCATGAGGAGTATTTAAAACCTTTTGCAGGTCAAAACTTGCACATACAAAAGTTTTATCTTCCTTTGCAATTTTTTGATCGGACAAAAATAGTTTTTTACTTTCTTCTTTGTGTTTTAAATGAATTTCGTAACGTTTTTCATCTTCTGCTGAAAATGTAAACTGTTGACCCTTTCTGGATTCGCATGTAGAGCATTTATCTTTTTTAGGAAGATGAAATCCTATATTAAAATCGTTGGAGAAAATCTCTCGAAACACCTTTAGAGATATTTTGGTCTTTATTTTGAGGTATTCTAAGGTATCCTTTTTAAAAATTCTGTATAAAAAAGATACATTCCTCAACTCTGTAGGTAGATATTTCTTTACGGTGCTACCTCTACAGTAGTGTGATGGTACTGCAGGTAATTTTTTAATAAATTCATGAACCAGCTGTTTATCCTGTAATGACGTTTTATTGTGAGGTTCGTGCTTGCCTCGTTTATCCGTTTTAGCACATGTAAAATTTACCGCATTGTTTTTCGTATACCTCAACGTCATTTGTGATATGCATAGAGTTTTCAACAAGAATTGTTGGCAAACTTCTGTTTTTTCTTCATTCCATGGTATGACATACTTAAAGGTTCTGACTCTTCTGCTGTTTTCGACATCACGTCTACGTCTTCTCTTTATATTCTTTTCTTCGATGCACAGCAAAATCCAATCTCGCTGCTTTTGAAGACTTCCTAAACCCCAATAAAATTCAAAAATTTCATGGCGTTGTTCAGTGAATTTTTTTGCGCAAGAGTTTTGACATTTTTTGGTCTTACAAGGGTTGTCTTGCACAGACTTCCCAGCGCCCAAAAGTTTTTGAATCCTTCGTGTGTGCCTTTTATTGGGTGACTTAGCTTTTCTCAAACCGGATTCTCCAACAATCTCTGTTAATAATTCATCCATCGGTTCTTCTACATCAGAATCAGTAGCATATTGGTTATTTACTTCATTAAAGGACAAGTCAGAATCAAATCGTTTAAATTTGGATTTTATTTTTGAAGTTTTTTGTTCAGGTTCCGATTCTGAGCTAGACGAATAATCTACCAGGCGTGTTAAATAGGTATTAGTACTATCGATAGATTCTTCCAATATTCCTGTTTCTATCTGACGTTCATTGTGCTCATCTACCTCAGACCATAAAGGGGCATTTACTAAGTTATTATCGACAAATAATTGCCCTAAATGCTGAGTGGCTATATCATCGTTTTCCGCAATAATAATTGGAATATTGTCTATGTCAAAAGCATCTGAACTGGTCATAAACATGTTTTCATAATCGACGTTCTCCCCATTCATAGAGGGGATTTGATCTAATTGATCTAAATCTCCGCTGCGTTCAGTATTTAATGCTAACTGTACCAAATGTTTACTTCGTAACGAGGCCATTTCCTACACCAAACATTATTGTCATTTATAAAATAGCAACGTATTACTTATAAATAATGATTAAAGTTTCTAATTTCTACATTACATAAAATTGCAAAACTCACCCAAGTCTACGCTTAAAAATGAATAAGTAGTCACTAGCCACAAATCAAACAGCACCATTACCTGATCAACAAACAGCCATAATGACGCAAGCGCCCGACACGGTTAGGAATTTCTATCGTAAGCGCCACGTTCTCCTAATTTTCGTAACAGTTACGATGTTCTGCCGGTAAAAGGTCCTCGCTTACGATGTTTTGACAGACTTTGTTTATAAAATTTGGCGCTTACGATAATTTTCTTTTTTAAATTGAAAGAAAACGGTTAATTATTTACTTATGATGTTTTGCAGGGACCTTCCGCTTATCGTAAGCGACAGTTTACACCAAAAAAACGTAAAATTGTCAAATATGTCGCTTACGATGTTCTGCCAAAAACCCATCGATATAAGCATTGATAAGTATTTTGACATGTTTTTTTTTCAGATCAGAAGGTTTTCGTGCCTCAGCTCAAAATGATGGGGAGACACCATGTGCGGGAGTTGCTCGAAAAATATGACGTTGGAACGCGAATTGAATTCGAGCACTATCTCTCACTCTGGAGACAATCAATTGGTATCCCTCTAAATTCCTATGAAACTGGGCCCACTGGAAGTGGTATGACAAGGCAGCTCGCAAGCACATCCATCTGGGTGGACAATCTTGAACCATCAGACATAAGGTCACCGTGTTCAATCCCATCATTCAACCGATGCGGGATCAGGTGCCAAAGTGCTATTGGCAACTATTCTGAAAGACTCCCCGAAAGCAGCGCTGTTGATGGAATACTGGGAAAAAAATTCGAAATTTGAAAACGAACAGAGAGGAGCCCTGATCAGTTTAATAGCAAGATACTTCGAGGATAATCGCATCCCCATGACAATGGCAGCAAGCTATCAATTGGAACGAGAGATAGTCGAGAGATTTCCGACTGAGAAGCTGGTAAGTTGGGCTTAATTAATTCAGTTCAAAATATTGACTCCAACTTAACAAATTCTAGGAGTTCTACCGCACTAACAAGAGAGGAAACCTCTACAATAAATGGAGGAACAGCAACGGTAGATTCAATAAAGCTGTTTTGAAAAAAACGGAAAAAACGGATACAAGCAGGACTGATATTGCTCTTGGTAAGTGAATAAATGTTTTGTATATATTATATATATTTCAATATATTAGTTTATATGCTTATCAATTTACGTTATTATTTGTTTCAGATTCAGAAAAGGACGCGGAGGATATAATTGTTATAGTATATCTGTATGTTATAAAACGTGGCAACTATGTCTTTCGTAAAGGTTGCCAAGACGAAGCCGGTACGCTTGACACGACAGCTGCTCGATGGCCGGTGACATGACAATTGTCTAATAAAGATCTGTTCCGCTACCTGTGTGTTAATATATTAATCCAAGCAATCACCCAACATAATATGGTGTCAGAAGTTGTCGTCTAAAATTAATCTGTCAGTAAATAAAGAATCAAGCCCGTCATGCCAGACAATGAAGTAAATCCGTCAAATTCAAATGCTAACCAATCTGTTGTAGAAGCACGTGTAGTAGAGCAGCACCTATGGCATCTTGTTCGCTTCAGCCTATGAATCTGCGTGCACCTGATTTATCACAAGCCTGGAAAACTTGGAAAACCCAATTCCTAATTTATCTGCGAGCTACAGGTCTTGACAAAGAAAGTGATGCAAGAAAAGTCGCCTTAATGCTTCACTACCTGGGCCCCGATTGCTTGAAAATCTACAATTCTTTTAACGAAAACTTGGATTCTGTGAAATACGACGAGCTAGAAACGAGGTTTGATGCACATTTTACACCTACCGCTAATATTTCATTTGAGAGGCATATATTTATAACACGAAAGCAAGGTAGCAATGAATCCCTTGAGGATTATGTCACAGCATTAACAAATCTTAGCCTGTCCTGCGACTTGGGAGCACTACGTGAAAGCTTGATTAAAGACATTTTTACCTGTGGTTTAAACGAATCCAATCACTACATCAAGGAAAAATTAATTAGAGCAGGTCCAATCGAATTAAATGAAGCAGTCGAACTAGCGAAGACCGCATCCCTTACAAAAGCGCAGATGTCTCAGTTAAGTTCAGCAGCATCGTTCGTAGGTGCAATAAATAATCAATTTCAAAGAAGAAAGCGTGTCAATCAAAGCCACACGAAGAGAAGAAAATCTGTCAGTCCGAGTACATCGCCTAAGAATAATTATGGATCGCCGTCAAGCAACGATAGTGCATGTACCCGCTGTGGTCAACATCATCTATATAGATGCCCTGCAGCAACTCAAATTTGCAATTACTGCCACAGAAGAGGACATTTCGTGCAATGCTGTTTTAAGAAAAAATCAAGAACTGTTCATCAGCTGTCTACAACCGAAGATTTATTTTTAGGGATGGTCGAGTGTGAAAATGTTCCCAGTTCTGATGTCAAATCCTTATCATGGGAATCTGCCGTACACATTAACAACAAAGAAGTCATTTGCCAATTGGACACCGGAGCTCAAACGAACATAATCAGTTTGTCTAAGTTCACAACTTTGGGCTTACCGAACTCAAATATCACACCTTGTTCGTCAAGGGTGAGTACGTTTACAGGACATAATATTGATGTAATTGGTTCAGTTAATTTGACTTGTAAAGTAGGGTTAAGGAAGTCGCACGAATTATTTCATGTTGCAAATTTCAATTGTGTTACAATCTTAGGATTAAGAGCTTGTATTAATTTGAAATTAGTGAAAAGACTTCACAACGTGCAATTCGATTCTGAAAGTAATCAGACGAGTGAAGTTCAGTCTGAAAAACACAATGTCTTGGAAACTTATAAGGACGTATTTGAAGGTTTAGGTAAAATTGATATGAAATGTCACTTTGTAGTCGATAAAAATATTAAGCCTGTCATTGAACCACTGCGAAAAATTCCTTTTATGTTACATAAGGATTTGGAAAAAGAACTTAAACGTATGGTTGACTTAGGGGTTATAATAAGAATATCTGAGCCCACTGCATGGGTAAATAGTATAGTTATAACCACTAAGAAAAATGGTAATTTAAGAATCTGTCTGGATCCTAGAAATCTGAACAAAGCAATTAAACGGTCTCATTATCCATTTCCGAATATAGATTCGGTAACAAGTAAACTTGCGAATGCATGTTTTTTCTCAACTCTCGATGCAAATTCAGGTTTCTGGACTATACCTTTAGATGACCAATCATCTAAACTGTGTACTTTTATAACTCCTTTTGGACGTTTTCGTTTCCTGAGGTTACCATTTGGTATTAACTCTGCACCAGAAATATTCCATGCTACAATGGTGGATCTGTTTGCACAAATTAAAAATGTAATTATTTATTTTGATGATCTGCTTATATTTGGAAGTACAAAAAAGGAACATGATTATACGATCAAACGAACTTACCTGTGAAGTTCGATCGTAATTATATGAGACATCCAATCCGAAGACATTAGTTAGAATACTATGTAGTTCGTCCTTCTCGAACTCAATCACGAGTGTTTAAAGAAAGGTATATAGGAGCAAAACAGGCCCAATCCTAGGTCCGCCACTGGCACGCAGCTCGCCAGCGCCTACCCGAACTTAGGTACTTCATTTGTTTATAGATTAAATACTGAAAAACCTAGGGTCTGGGTGGGAAGGGTGTAATGTCTTCGGATTGGATGTCTCATATAATTACGATCGAACTTCACAGGTAAGTTCGTTTGATCGTATAATTATATTTCGCCATCCAATCCGAAGACATTAGTTAGAATACTATGTAGCTGTTTAAAGATGACAGGTTTTTCAGGATATGTGAGAAAGAACTCTGCTTTCCGAACTGAACTGGTTTAATAATTTTAGAACTACGTTGACCTAGCTAGAACTAAGTACAGTATTAGCAAACAGGTTGGCTTCCGAAAACGGTCTTTTGTAGAAATTACAAAAAGTTTTGGACTTCGCCGTCCATCCTGCCGTTTGACGAATAGTCTCCACTGGCACTCCTAATTGGAAGGCTTTCGATGTTGCAGCATGGCGGGTAGAGTGTGCTTTGAAGATTTTGGTATTCACACCAGCCTGTTCCAACGTGTCCTTCACCCACCTACTTAGTGTCTGCTTACTCGCTATCCGATGAGGTTTCTTGTATGTAATAAAGAGGAAATCAGTGTTTGACGTGCGTAGTTGTTTAGTCGCTGCCAAGTACTCCTTTAATGTTGTGGCTACGCAAAGATTAGGAGTCTCAGTGAAGTATGGAAGTTGTAGACAGGGTTGCTTTCTTCCCGGGCCAGAAGTTTTAATTTTGTCTTCTATTAATATTTGAAACCCAGTCCTTGACTCAATGATGTTGGGTAGCCGAATTAGGGAAAACGTCTGCATTCGGTGAGCCGTTGAAAGAGCCAGAAGTGTGACTAGCTTCTCGGAGAGCGCTTGCAAGGTGGGCGTAGAACGTTTTTCCAGGAAACTTAACACTATGTGAGGGTCCCAAACCACATCGTATCGAGGTTTTTGCGGTCGCAGCTTCGATATTCCCTTCAGGAAACGACTAACAACTGGGTGGCCAGCTAAATCGGTGGACAAGATTAGAGATAGGGCCGAACGATGCGAGTTGAAAGTTCCATAGCTCTGATTGCCTGTATCGTAGAGATACTGCAGGAATTCCATCACATGTGCAGGTGTGCCGTCAAAGGGAGAGATGCCTTTTTTGGCGCAGTAGGGCCACCAGAGCTTGAACGTCCCTCCATATTGTTGGATGGTTGCTTCCGATAAGGAGTGCAAAATTGTTTCTACTACATTTTTTGGCAGCTCCTTTCGTGTAAACGCTTCCCTGATAACCTGGCCGCCAGTAGAGAAAGGTTGTTCGCCAAAGGGTGGGGTTGCTTGCTGTAAGGATGAAATAACAAATCATTACTAGGATGAAAAACGATTGGCTCTTGGGCCAATAAGTTAGAAAAGAGTGGGAACCAGGCTTGATTTTCCCACCTTGGGACAATTACAATTCCTTCAGCCTTGTCGTCGATTATCTTTTGCAATACTCTTAAGATCAAGGCGAATGGAGGGAAAGCATAGAAGGCCAGATTACTCCATTGAATAGTGAAGCTATCAACCTTGACGGCATCAGGGTCCCTTTGCCAGGAAACATAAATAGGGCATTTGTGATTGTTTTTGGACGCGAACAAATCTATCTCTGGTAACCCGAAGCGTTTGGTCACCACCTTAAACGCCCTGTTGCTTAAGCTCCATTCGGTTTCGGGTGTTAGGCTCCTGGATTCTCTGTCGGCTATCCAATTGTCCGAAGAGCTGATATAGGACACGTGCAGCCAAAGGTTTCGCTCCTCACACCATTCCCAAATCCTCTTTGTGAGATCAAAAAGCGCTGAATGGTGAATGCTCCCCATTTTATTAATATAAGATAACGCAGTAGTATTATCGCATCTTAATAAGATGTTGCTGTTGGAGCAGGACGAAGCAAAACCTTTAAGTGCAAAGAAAATTGCTAAAAGCTCTAGGTAATTGATATGATGTAGTCTGTCTTCAGGAGTCCACCACCCACGAATTCTACTCTCTCCGCAGCAAGCACCCCAACCAGTAAGCGAGGCGTCTGAAAAAACCTCCAGCACAAATTGATCCTTCCTAATGTCATTAAAAGCAGCGTCAATTGAAGTAAGCCACCAAATAAGGTCTCGCTGTAAGTCTACGTGCAGTGACATTGACGCAGAGTACCTCCCTTCACTCACCTGGAGGGCCAAATGTTTGTGCCGTTCGAAAATTTTGGTACGTAACCACCCGTATTTGACTCCCGGGCAGACCGACACCAGATAGCCAATAAAACCTGCCCAATCGCGAATTTTACAGCGTTTCAAAGACAAGAATTTACTGGTCCACTTCTTTATTTTTTCTTTCTTTTCTATTGGCAGAAAAATTGTGAGTTGCTCCGAATCGAGCATAAAGCCCAGGAATTTGATGGTCTTGTTAGGGATTAACCGGCTTTTTTGTAAGTTAATGGAAAATCCCAGAGACTGCAAAAAATCGACTGCTACCTTAGTATTACGGAGGCAGCCATCGTAGGAAGAATTCAATAGTAAGATATCGTCCAGGTAGCACACGCACAAAATATTATGAGATCGCAGCCATTGTGTTACCGGGCGCATGAGTTTAGTGAAAACATAGGGCGCGGGAGATAACCCAAATGGCAGACAGGTGAACTCGTATAACTGCCGATCAAACTCAAATCTTACAAATTTCCTAGAATTTGGGTGGATTCGTATATGGAAGTAGGCGTCCTTAATATCGATGGATGTAAACCAGCAGTCTTTTTTGATGAGTCTCAAAGCAGTTCTAATGTCCTCCATTTTAAAATGGGGAGACTCTAGGAAAGTATTAAGATACTTTAAATTCAAAATGAAACGTTTCCCGCCATCGGGTTTATCCGCTAGGAAGATATTGGAAACACACTGTCCCGGGTGAGACTCGCACCTCACTATTGCTTTGGACTTTAGTAGAGACTTGATTGCATCAAACATATCTAAATTCTGGGCTGTCCAAACTTTAGGTAAGTGCCCGATGCAAAAACTTGGTGGGGTGGCGAAAGGTAGTTCATAGCCTTCTATCCACTGGAGTAAAATAGGGTTTGTCGTTATTTTGCGCCAGTTAACCAGGAAATGATGGAGTCTGCCCGCAATAGGACTTACCTGAATTAGCGTTTGTAACTCTTTAGATGGGGTTTGTGCCCTCGGGATGACCTCGTCACACCTCTGTGACGGGTCGGGCCGAAGCGGTTTAAAGGACGGCCATCTCTTTCAGTAGCGAAGGCTCTTGAATCCCGTCTTCGAAAACTTTCGCTCCGTCCCCCTCTGGCTGTTGAAAATCTTGTCCCGGTACTCGCTTTTAGCTCCTTCCCTGCAGTCTGTATAGATTTTGCGTCCCGTACGCACTCAGAGACGTTGGCGCCAAAGAGAAGCTCCCCTGGCTTGGTCTTTTCTAGAGCTTCTTTTATATTGTTATTGAGCGTTGGTACTATCAATTTGCGCCTGGTATCGGAGATAACAAAAAGCGAATTTACCAAAATACGACTAGCATCACCCAAAGGCATTAAAATGGCATCTCGAAGGTCCTTAGCAATTGAGCTGTCCTGTAAAAGTAACGACATCGCTCTACCCATGGCAGTCAGAGCGGTAGCAGTTCTGCTATGAATCTCCTTGTAGGAGTTGTCCCGAGCTGATCTGTCGTTCGCTAGAACCGAAAGGATCTCGGGGTTCAACACAGGAGGAGCAAGTAGTGAACAGTTTCCCGGGATGCTATATTGTTCACTCAGCTTTTGAAGGGTTTCTAATGAGACACCGTTCTGTAAAATATGGGTCCAACGGGACGCAATTGCCTCGTGTAAGTTAGCAGCCTGTGTTGACTTGACCGGGCCGTCGTTCCCCAGGACATCAGCAAACTCGTCTATATCTAAAGGGATATTCTCTAAAGAGAGAATATTCTCGTCCACCAACGGTTCGGTAATGGCATCATCCCGAATGACCAATGGTGGCTCCGGAGAAGCACTTGGCCTCGGACTGAAGGTGACCTGCAAGTCCGGGGAATCCCTGTGGCTTAAAGAAACCCGAGGGGACCGATCGCGCCTTGAGGAAGGTGACGGTGTGGTGCTTAAAGAAGCATGGGGCGAACTGGTATGCCTGGTGTACCTACTACCACTTGAAAAAAGGTTTGAATTACGTGTATCGCCGCAACCGTTTCTTGGGGAATGATCCCGGTTAGAACGAGATCGAGAGCAATGGCCGCTCGAGCTTGCACCGCTACTGTTATAATGGCGGGGTAAATTCTCCTTGTTCGAAACTAACAAACTCTCTAACCTACGTAAACGGTCACGTAATTCTCTTTTCGAGACACTTCTGCTCCTAGAACGGTGTTTTCTTGATTTCCCATTTCTAAAATAGAGATAATTATAATCCAATATTAATAACCAACACAACGTGAGCACGAGAAAACGAAGAATGAAGTACCTAAGTTCGGGTAGGCGCTGGCGAGCTGCGTGCCAGTGGCGGACCTAGGATTGGGCCTGTTTTGCTCCTATATACCTTTCTTTAAACACTCGTGATTGAGTTCGAGAAGGACGAACTACATAGTATTCTAACTAATGTCTTCGGATTGGATGGCGAAATATAATTCTGTTTTAAAAACGGTCCTTGATAGGGCTCGTTCAGTGAATATGCGTTTTAATCCAAATAAATCGCATTTGTGTAAAACCTCTGTAACCTACATGGGTCACGTATTTTCAAGTCGTGGCATTCATCCAGATCCTTTAAAAATTAAGGCAATTGTTAAAATGCCAGAACCCAAAAATAAGCAAGATTTACAAAGGTTTATGGGTATGTTAACTTATTTGTCGTCATTTATCATAAATTTTTCTGATCATACGAAAGTGTTGAGGTTATTAATTAAAAAAGACAACCCTTGGCATTGGGATGAAATTCATAGAACAGAATTTAACAAATTAAAAACCCTTATCACTAAAGCACCAGTATTAACGTACTTTGATACAAACAAGAAACTTACGCTATCATGTGATTCATCTCAATATGCAGTTGGAGCTGTCATATCGCATGATATTAACCCAATTGCTTTTGCATCTGCTTCATTAACAGACTGTCAGCAAAATTATGCACAAATTGAGCGTGAACTTCTTGCAATTGTATATGGATGTATAAAATTCCATCAGTACATATATGGACAAAAAGTGCTAGTGCACACTGATCATAAACCATTAATTCCCCTTTTTATAAAGCCCTTATATAAGGTCCCACAGCGTCTTCAAAGATTTATGCTTAAAATTCAAGCCTATGATCTTGAAGTTCAGTATGTGCCAGGAAATAAAATGTTTGTATCTGATACCTTATCTAGGGCTCCATTGTCAGATAAACTGCTGGAAATATCAGATGAATTTGATAAGGATCTTAATTTACATGTAAATTTACTAGTGTGCAATCTTGCAGTTTCTTCTGAACAGTTAAACAAAATTCGAGAACAGACGAACAATGATCAGACTCTGTTAACGTTAAGTAAATATTATCAAGATGGTTGGCCGTCAAATAGAAATAATATTCCCTTAGAAGTGCGACCATTTTTAAAATTTTCTGAATTTATTCATGTTGCGGATGGTATCGTTTTTAAAGGTGATTGTATCGTAATACCATCATCACTACGCAAGGAAATGCTGGCAATAATCCATGAAGGACATTTTGGTATTGATCGATGTATTAAGTTCGCAAAAAACTCATTATTTTGGCCGAACATGAGTAGCGATATCAAAAATATCGTGTCTACATGCATTACGTGTCAGCAATTCAGCAGAAATAACAGTCAACTTCCTTTAATGCCACATGAAATAAAATTAGTACCATGGTATAAGATTGGGGTAGATTTTATGGATGTATTGGATAAGAAATATCTTGTTTGCATTGACTATTTCTCGAAGTACATAGAAATAGCAGTAATGCAAAGAGGATGTACAGCTTTACTAGTTATAATAGAACTAAAATCAATTTTTGCAAGGCATGGAATACCTGTCACATTAATCTCAGACAATGGTCCTCCATTTGGTTCCAATGAATTTGCTAACTTTGTTAAAACTTGGCATATAAATCACGTGACAGCTAGTCCACACCATGCTCAATCAAATGGTCAAGTAGAAAGGAGTATAGGCACTTTGAAAAATATGATTATTAAAGCATTTGAGTGCAATGAAGATCCATATTTGGCTCTTCTACAATATCGTACAACTCCTAACGAAAGTTTGAACTCCCCATCACAATTGTTAATGAGTCGCTTACTCAGAACGCGACTACCCATTAAAGAATCTCTTTTGCAATCACAATTAACAGATTTGAATAAGCAAAAACAATTTATTGAAAGAATGAATTTTAAAAAATCTCATTATTTCAATAAATCATGTAAAACTCTTAATGATCTCGTAGTGGGACAAAAAGTGTTATTCAAAAAGGCACTTGCAGATAAAAAATGGCACATAGGTACAATTGTAAGTGTAGGACCTTTACCACGAACTTATCAAGTACAAAATGCAGAAGGCACATTATACCGCAGAAACCGAATGTTCTTTAAACCCTTAAAAACAATGGAAACTGAAATTACTGATGTTAATAATGATAATGAAGGATTATTAACTAACAGTAATTCAGACAATTCATTACTAATTGTTCCAAACCTAATTAGGTCAGAAACGGTGAATGATTCTGAAATACAGGTGAATGATTCTGAAAGGCACACACGATCAGGTCGTTTAATTAAGACCCCAAGTAGACTAAACTTGTAGTAATGTTTGTAATTATATGTAATGTTTGTTATTTTAAGTATACTTTGTATTATTAAGGAAAGGGAGATGTTATAGTATATCTGTATGTTATAAAACGTGGCAACTATGTCTTTCGTAAAGGTTGCCAAGACGAAGCCGGTACGCTTGACACGACAGCTGCTCGATGGCCGGTGACATGACAATTGTCTAATAAAGATCTGTTCCGCTACCTGTGTGTTAATATATTAATCCAAGCAATCACCCAACATAATAATAATAAGGTCACTGCGCAATGACGATCTATCTGCCGAAGAGCTCGATCGGTTTTGGAAGGCGTGCGGGAATTATCGATTGAATCAAATCAGAACAGCCAATTCAACAGCAGAAATTTTGAAGAAGTGGCCGCAATATAAAACTCCCTCCGGATATAGATTTGTACGTGGAATCATTCAGATTTTAAATAATATTAACAATAAAGTAATTTACTTTTGCAGATTGAATTTGATTTCGTCATTCTCAATAGAGATAGTAAAGACCCTTCTTCAATTTGGGAGGCCGGTGCGAATAAGATAATACAATTCCTCGCAAATAGTATCAAAGACAAAGAGTTGAAAACTTTGATAAAAAGTCTGGACGAAGACATGGAAGAGCGTAAGTAGAAATTAACTTATAATGCAGCTTCTCGTGTCCTCAAATCGACTATCGAAAATATCAATTGATGATTGCGTAGATAATATTACCTACGATTACATAGTATACCTTAAGTATTACTTTGTCACACTAACTTTCATTTTCTACCAATAGATAGTCGGAACGCCACAATTCTGTGGCTTCTTCATGGGTTCTTTGTGCCCAGCAATCGAGGAACACAAACCGATATAAACGGCAAGAAAAAAATTACAAAATACACTATTCGAGACTCTCAGCAGTATTTCCTCTACCTGGGAAAATCTGCCCAACAAGTAGAGCAATGGATAGAACACAGGAAGTCCAAAGGTACAGCCATACAGCCATTTTTATTCGCCATTGCAGAGAGTCTCAAAGAAATAGGAGAGGTTTTTGTTTATTTCGACGACGTGAAGTTCAAATTTTATAACATAATACGCGCAATGGACATCTGTTTCAAAATATTCCACGTATTCAATCTCGAATATCCGAATGAGTGCCACATGTTTTGGACATTCATCGAAACATATTTATATAATGTAAAATCAAACAAAAGTTATACTAAAGTTTATGAACTTAAAGACTTTTTGAAATCAGGCGAGAACTAGGTGCGTCTCATTTTGTATTTTGTAAGTATATTTTATTAATAAATGAGGCATAACGTATTTCATTTGTGTCTGTGTCTCAGTTCAACTTTTATCACAGTTATGTGCAGGGTAAGTATTTTGTCTAAAAACGTGTCAACATATATCAGTACAAATAATTACAATTGATGCTTTAATAATAAGTCATTTGAGCATTTCTATAGGTAATTAATGTACCTACTCTACTCTGATTCTAAAATTAATGACCGGGGACGTTGTATCAAACCATCTTTGATCCCCATGTCTTGTCAAGGCACACTAAAATATTAATGCGATGCATATTGATTCACTGCTATTGATTTTATGTAGCCCGATCCTTTGATCAATGAACGTAGCTTTAACCAATAGGTAAGTGAACCTTAAATCAAGACATTGGAACTTTAGGGATAAGCAAGAATACATGTATAACGTGTACTTGAAGCCTAATACTAATTTACCGCAACCTCAACCCAGAATTGCTAGGCATTGCATTGAGGTTTTTGATCATCAAAACAACATAATTTCAACGAACGAAATGACGTCTTCAAAGCCTTATACTAAGGAACCGCAACCTCAACCGATACTCCCAGCCATTGTATTAAGGCTCTTGAACATCAAAACAACACAATTTCAACGAACGAAATTGATGTCATCAGAGCCTAATACTAAGGAACCGCAACCTCAACCGATACTCCCAGCCATTGTATTAAGGCGCTTGAACATCAAAACAGCACAATTTCAACGAACGAAATTGATGTCATCCGAGCCTAATACTAAGGAACCGCAACCTCAACCGATACTCCCAGCCATTGTATTAAGGCTCTAGAACATCAAAACAACACAATTTCAACGAACGAAATTGATGTCATCAGAGCCTAATACTAAGGAACCGCAACCTCAACCGATACTCCCAGCCATTGTATTAAGGCGCTTGAACATCAAAACAGCACAATTTCAACGAACGAAATTGATGTCATCACAGCCTAATACTAAGGAACCACAACCTCAACCGATACTCCCAGCCATTGTATTAAGGTTCTTAAACATCCAAACAACGCAATGTCAGCGAGACTGAATTGATGTCATCGGAGCCTAATACTGAGGCACTCGCTATTAGTCAATCACCATCGAAACCTTCTAGCAATGGTTATAAGCTTTGGAAGGATTTTGAGGTCAAAAGACTTGTTTCGATCACTATTTTTCTCATATTTAGGTAGTTTTTTCTTTCTGTGAAGTACTGAATCAACCTCAAAATCAAACTTTGCTCACCTTCTGTGTATCGGTTCGTCATATTTACCTAATTGTAACGGTAATGACCTAAATTCATGATATGAGCGAATCGAACCATTATGTAAAATTTTTAAAATACTTGTCTGTTAACGGATTTGCTGCACTGTGGACTTGCCTAAGCGTTTTCAACTTTGATGAATATCATCAACTTCACTTTTAACACAAACTACCTAATCAAAAGGCACACTGGAAATCTGTCCTTAACGAAAATCATTTGACGGATTGATATTATTGACAGATCAATAATTGGTTTATTTGTCACGACTTACGTTAATGACGTAATTGTCTCAATCGATTTAAATGTAATGAAGAGAGAATCACATTTATGACGTCAGGTTCAGCACCAGTGAAACAAAGTATAGACCAATTTTTTTTGTGTCTGAAATGACATTAACTTTTTGAAACAAAAATTTCATCTATGTAGAAATAAGTTCAATTGAATAATTTTTTATGCATCTTGCGTGAGTGGTAGACTTTGTGTTTACTCGTACTATCAAAATGGCAGAATATCAACTTTATAGAAATGAGTGCATAAAAAATGTCGCTGCCTCCTGGACTAAAAGTAGACAGTCAAAGAAATCGCATCACAATCAACACCCACACAAGGTCGGAGCTTGTGAATAACACCAACACAATATGACAATACACAGTAGCCCTTTGTTCTAAAAATAACTGTGCTTTAGGATTTCGCAGTTTATGGTACACATATGTATAGTGCAACGGAGATCCGCGAAATCGTTCAAAAAATTTTTTCGGAGTAGAAAGAATTGGGACCCACACCATTTTGTTCAGAAATGTTTGAACCTTCAGAATCTCGCTTTACGACATTTTCCCATGGTCCTGACAAAAGTTATAGGCCGCTAAAGTTGAACTTTACTCATTTTCGCGCGCGCGACTAGACCACCGAAAGTATTTATTTTCTCCGCAACTAAGCGATATACATCAATAATTCATTTTGTAAAATGAAACTACATTTATAGCAGAATCTAAAGCATTCATATTTACCTACCTTGTTATGCACAGTTTTTAGAAAAATGACCGTCAACTTCCAAAATTCGTGTAGCAGATGAAAAGTGCGCACTTTGAACTCTCATAACTTTTTATTTCACGATATCGATTTCCAATATGTATAGCTCATTCGATGCTCCAAAGCATTGTGATTATTTTATTTTCTATAACATTACCGTGAATTTTTCATAATAAAAAAAAAACTACCTCAAATAAGCGAGTTAGCGCCGGTTCTCCGCTGCACTAATAGCTTAGCAAATTGTTTCTTGGCGTGCAATTTTTATTTCGTGCTTTTTTCCTTTAAAAATAGTTCATTTTAGAACTAGGGATGTAATTACAAACCAGTGTAAAGTCTACTATTGAAAAGAATATATCGAATCCATTTTTCATCCAATTAATTATAACTTGTGTACCTACATAAATCAATATTTTATGCTAGATTTTATGTAGTAATCTACTCCAAAATTTTTAGATGCTTTTAGCATAAGTAGGTATCTACCATATTTTGAAAAACGCTTGTCCTTCCTCTTGTTATAGTGCGCTCAATTATAGTTTATAGCATTTTTAAAGGTGGTCTAACGATTTCTTCAAATTTTTTGGCATATTTTGCGTTATGTTCTATAAATTTTTTTCACCTAAATCACACAAATTCAGAATGAGAATCCCGATTTTAAAGTCCTGCGTGACGTCATGCACCAACTAGCATAATCTTGTTTTCTTTATTTATATCCTGACTACAAAAGTACGTGCTTGTTGTAAATATAGCGAAAGTTTCCGAAGGAATATACTGACATGTAGAATGGCTAAAACATGTAATAAACGTTAATCCACATTTTATCTGTATCAGTTGTCATCATCGTTAATAATACATGGTGTCAGGTGGAAAGAACAATGGAGAGTATATTTAAACCCCCGGAACCTCTACATTTGGATGGAAACATTAGCGATAACTGGAGAAAGTTTGAACAGCAGTTCCAAATTTTCATTGAGGCAACTGAATTGGATCAAAAATCGGAAGCAAAGCAGTTAGCTGTTCTTTTAAATCTTGTAGGTAACGATGGACTGGATTTGTATAACTCGTTCACTTTAACGGAAGCGGAAAGAAAATCCTTAAAGTCGGTATTAAAGAAGTTTGCAGAGTACTGTTCGCCTAAGAAGAATGTTATATTTGAAAGGTACAGGTTTAACAGTATTGTACAAAAAGAGGGACAGACTTTCGACAACTTTTTGACGGAGCTACGTAAAGGCGTAAAGACGACAGATTACAAGGAGCAAGATGATATGGTCAGGGACAGGATTGTAATGGGAATTGCGAATAAAAACACCCAGGAAAGACTACTGCGTGAAGAAGCTCTTACCTTGCAAAAGGCAGTTGATTTTTGTAGGGCAACGGAAGCAAGTCAAGTCAAGCACAGTCCAAGGAGTTACAAAATGAGGTGTGTGCCAGTTCCATCAACAAAGTAAGCTCAAGTAGATCGCACAAGCATGCAGAATCCAGGGCCGACATAATGAAATGCGGGTATTGTGGTTACAAACATGCAAAAGGGAAGTGTGCCGCGTATGGAAAGACGTGTGGTAAGTGTCATCAAAAAAATCACTTTGCTGCAGTCTGCAAGAATTCGAGAGAGAAAAGGAAACAAATTCATGATGTCGAAGCCGAAGAATTATTAGGAGAGATGCCAGATCAATTTTATATAAGCTCTGTTAGTAAATGTATTGGTGCAATCAATCGAAATGATGAAACGGTATGGATGCAGAGTGTACTACTCGAAGGTAATTCTGTTGTGCTTAAGTTGGACACAGGTGCAGAGGTCAATGTTTTGCCTTTAGAAGTATTTAATCGGTTAAATAGTAATAAGATGATAAAGCAAACTAACATTGCTCTTGTTGCTTATGGAAGCAATGATTTCAAGCTTAAACCAATTGGCGAAGTAAATTTACATTGCTGTATTAATAGTAAATCGGTAGATTTTCCATTTGTTATTGTTGATGGTAAAAGTCAAGTACCATTGTTAGGTTTACCTGGATGCTTAAGTTTAAATTTGATAAAAAAGATTCACGATGTAAAACCATGTTTTAATGATGTTAATGATATTTTAAAGAAATATAAGACTGTTTTTGAAGGTCTTGGACAGTTTCCAGTTGAACATAAAATAACTTTAAAAGCAAATGCAGTACCTCATGTTCAGACTGTAAGACGGATACCTCATACATTGCATGCTAAGGTTAAGAATAAATTAGATGAACTTGAACAAGTTGGGGTTATTCGTAAAGTTGAGAAACCAACAGAATGGTTAAACCCATTGGTCATTGTTGAAAAAAGAAATAAAGAGATACGATTATGTTTAGATCCTAAATACTTAAATGATGCTATTCAACGTGAGCACTTTCAAATACCAACTGCCGATGAAATTTCCGCAAAATTGCATAACAAATCATTTTTCTCAGTGTTGGATATGAAGGATGGCTACTTTCAAATAAAAATTGATGATAAATCGGCTGATTATTGCACATTTGGTACACCATTTGGGCGTTACCAGTTTTGTCGATTACCGTTTGGTATAAGTTCAGCTCCGGAAGTTTTTCAGAAAAGAAGTTATGAAATTTTCGGAGATATCGATGGTGTTGGTGTATACTTTGATGACATCATAGTCACAGGTGCCACAGAATCAGAACATGATCACAATTTGATGTTAGTGTTAGAGCGTGCTTTGAAACACAATATTAAATTCAATAGCAATAAGCTGCAATTCAAAAAAGAGAAAGTAAAATTTATGGGTCAAATTTTCACTAAAAAAGGGATAGAAGCAAGTGAATCTCATGTCCGTGCAATTTTAGAGATGCCAAAGCCACAAAATAAACATGATCTGTTAAGGTTACTTGGAATGGCAAAATTTCTAGGTAAATTTGCACCCAATATGTCAAAGGTAACAGCACCTTTAAGGCATTTAACACGAGATGATGTTGAGTGGAGTTGGTTACAGGAACATGATGAGTCATTAGACAAGTTAAAACATTTACTTACTAATGCTCCAATCTTGGCATATTTTAATCCATCATTGTCAATTGAAATCGAGACGGATGCATCAAAAGATGGACTTGGAACATGTCTATTGCAAAATGGACACCCCATATTTTTTGCATCTAGAAGTCTTAATAAGAGTGAAGTAAAATACGCTCAGATCGAGAAAGAGTTGTTAGCGATCTTATATAGTTGTCAAAAATTTCATTATTACATTTATGGTGTCAAAAATATTAAGATATACTCGGATCATAAACCTCTAGAGAGCATTTTTAAAAAAGATCTCCAATCAGCAACACCTCGACTTCAACGTATGTTATTAAAAATGTTGAATTATGATACACAAGTCATTTACAAACCTGGAAAATATTTGTACATACCAGATACTTTATCACGAGCATTTTTAAATGAAACAAACACTGTAGAATCTGAGCTCGACTATAGTGTACATACACCTGTTAATCATTTACCGGTGTCGGAAAACTTAAAGAATGATCTTAAACAAGCAACTCATTCTGATCAACAACTTCAATTAATTATAAATTTTGTACATAAAGGTTGGCCAAAAAAGAAGTGTATACCTGAATTAGCACAACATTTCTATAAACTTAGAGAATTCCTTGTTATTTGTGACAATTTATTATTTTTTAAACATAAGCTAGTAGTGCCTTTGAAGCTCAGAAAATATATGCTAACCAAATTGCACGAAGGTCACATTGGTATAGAAAACGTTAAGATAAGGGCTCGACAAATCTTTTACTGGCCTTGTTTAAGTCAAGACATAGAACTGTTCATTAAATCTTGCAAAATTTGTGAACGCTTTAGTAGAAAACAACAAAAGGAAACACTTTTAAGTTATCCATTACCAGATCGACCATGGCAGAGAATACCTAGGTGTAGATATTTTTTCATATGCCAATAAATCCTATTTAGTAATCATGGACGCATATTCTAACTGGTTAGAACTTATTCTTATAAAAAATAAGTCTGCACATGAAGTAATTTTAAAATTAAAGTCAGTTTTTTCCAAATATGGTTGTCCAGATCTATTAGTGTGTGATAATGTTCCATTCAATAGTTATTTAATGTCACAGTTTTCAAAAGAGTGGAATTTTGATATTGTAACTCGTAGTCCGTATTACCCGAAATCCAACGGTCTTGCTGAAAAAGCAGTTGGCATAGCAAAGACCTTACTTAAGAAATCAATTGAAGAAGGAAAAGACATATTTTAGAGTTTAATGCAATATCGAAATTCTCCGTTGAAGCATATTAATTATTCACCAGCACAGTTGTTAATGGGGCGCATATGCAAAACCAAAGTTCCAATATCGGCAGATTTGTTAAAGCCTAAAGTTTACGATGACGTGCAAGAAAAACTCGGTCAAAGACAAAATTATAATAAAACATATTACGATCATAATGCACGAAATTTAAAACCACTAATGCCGAATGATAATGTTGTAGTTTACGATCATGCATCAAATCAGTGGAACCCTGGTAAAGTAATTGAACCCCATAGTTCACCAAGGTCATACATTATACGTAACAATTCAAACAATGTGATTCGAAGAAATAGAGTAGATCTTAAGAAATCGTTAAATGAACATGTACCCGATAATCACACCCTTGATGATGATGTTAATATTGAGAACATTCGTGATGCAAATGTAGACGTACCAATTAAGACAAATGTGACTGCCACTGATAGTAATAAGGTAGAAAATAGTTTCCAGTACCAAACTCGTTCTGGTCGTTCTGTAGTTAAGCCTGTTAAGTTAAATTTATAAGGGGAGATGTATTATATGGTATCACCCTGTATGTTGTTATGTTTAGTATCACTGCTGTTATACAATAGACACAGAATAATGTACAATATACTGACATGTAGAATGGCTAAAACATGTAATAAACGTTAATCCACATTTTATCTGTATCAGTTGTCATCATCGTTAATAATACAATGTTCACTACTGAAAGAGGTTTGTGAAGGTTGTGTTAGAGGAAAACAATGAGTACTGTAGATGATACTAATGAAACTTTGGTACAAGTACAGTTAGACGATGTGATTGTGTGTGTGGATCGAGAAACTGCGATTGAGTTACAAAATGGTAAGTAAATTAGTATAATGTATGTGTTTAACCTTTTATTTTGTTTAGAAAATTACGCAAAACGATACACTGAAAAAAAATTAGTAGTCAAAACAAAAAATTATAATTAGATAAAAGAAAACTGTTTAAATAATCTACATTTTTATATAGTCGAGAAACGTGAATTTGATGATACATATATTTCAAATTAGTTGGTGATGCTATCGCTAATTCATCTTACAACATTGGCTAAAAGAACTATTATTTAGTTGTTTTGTTAATACCTAATGCTTTTTACTAAAAATACAAAAACTTATTGTATATTGAAGCTACATAACTTTAGATACATTGTACACTAAATAGCTCCTTTACTAAATTTAATCAATGTGTCACCATATTTTGCAAAATCAACTACTAAATGGCTGTATTAAAGAAAGCAATTCTTTGCTATTTATATCTCTCCGCTGTGCCGTACAAAATAAAATAGTCATTCCGGTTAAAGTTGACGTTCGCAGTTCGCATACAGTATTCTTGAAGAAGTTACTTGTACCTACCTATCAACATAATTTATTGTTGTTTAATTAAGTTTGTTTATGGATGAAATTAATTGTGAAGTGTTGCTTCGACAGTGGGGGCTGGAGGAGCTCGTTGCCGACTTTGAAGGTAAGCATTTAAGCAGTATTCAATGAGTTACTAATTTGTTTCAACTATGATTTAATTTTCTCTGTTTTTGTACTATGTAGGTAATTATTATAGTTTGTATTTATTTTAGCGAAAAAGATTGATATCGAAGTATTAAAAGAATTGACGGTTACTGACATCGACAATCTCATTCCATTAGAGAAATTTGGAGTGAGAATAAAATTTAGGCAACAGTTATTTGCTTGGAAACGAGATAATGTATGGTTTAAAATTACTATTTAAAGCAAATATTTAATTTCAAATTGTAGGGATATGTTACACCGCTTGCAAGTACTGTTTCTGTGAGTGCAGATCCATCATTTAATGCAATTGAAAATTGGTTAAATACAGTTCCTGTTGTTTTAGATGAGGTAACAGGGTCCGAAAATTGTGTTAAATTGGTGAGTATTAATTAATTGCAGTCATTTTAATTTTTGCCAATCTCCATTTTTGGAAAGTACTTACATGAAATATTTTTAGGACCTACTAAGCCTAATGAAAAGTTCAGTTACTGGAAAAGTAACTATCCATAATTATAATACGCATAAAACATTATCTGTGAATGATAGAAATACTGTCTCAACTTTAATCGCTGAGTTTTGGTTAAACAACAATATTAAAGTGTCTCATAAGGAATATGAAACTGCAGCTAACCAAATAAAAATCAATTTTCCTTCTGAAGATGAGGTAACAGTGCTACTGTTTTTACTCGAATTTATATAATTTGTGTTTTAGAAAACATACTTAAATAGTAAAAAACAACGGGGAAAATTAGCTGAAAAGTACTATAGTCTTTGCAAAAAATATCGTCAACAAGGACTTATAAAAAGTAGATACAATTTGAAACGAAAGGCAGTAGACGACATAAGTTCGTCAACCAGTGAATATAATGATGACTTGGAAGGAGGGGAAAGTTTTGGAGATTACGAATGGTTACGGTACAATACAGCACCCCCTAATTTAGTATATGAAAAGTGGGGTAGGACCTTCAGGCAACGTAAGAAAGATATTGCTGGAGATGTTAACATTTTTGAGAGATGGCCCATATTAAAGCAAGAAATTGCTGTTTCTTTGGTAAGTTAAATTTTTAATTGAATGTTTAAAAAAATCTTGTTTTTACAGATTGAACTGGACTTTAATAAAATTTATCCTGACAAAAACACATTGCTCTTTGCAAAATGGGATCAATTTGCTATTAAAATTAAACCTATATACTTACGAGATATTAAAGACAAAAGATGCAAATTATTATTAGATTATTTAGAATCTCCGACAGTTAATGAAGGTTTGTATACAACTTTTAATTTATACAAGTAATTAAAAGAATTACTTTTAGATTCTAAACATTACATACTGTGCATAAATTTAAATGCTTTATTTATTCCTCATATAATAAAAAAGGGGAAAGAAAAACCATATAGACCATCTATTTTGGATGCTCAAAATTCTTTTGCAGTTCACGTTACGGTAAGGTAATTTTTGAGTTTTATCTTTATTTGACATTTTTGTATTACAGGATAAAACGTATGTACAAACTTACATAGAAAAACGAAAAACGGAATTAGAATCGCAAAACAGGACATTCCAACCCACCATCATTGTGGTAGGTGACTCTATTCATAATTTGGTATCTTTTTATGTATATATTAATGATGTCTTATATGAATGCAGTTCATTTTTAAAAGCTGTTTCAACTACATTTCAGATATATCATGTTTTTAACCTAAAGTATCCGTCTGAATGTATGCAAGTGTGGCAGTTTTTTGAAAATTATTTTTATGAATTGCCCAATTTAACTAAAATTAGTACAGCGCTAAATGCAGTTATATCTGAAATGATTCGTTGATCTGTCCTTCTTTTGTCAAATCATTGTTCTTAAAATGAAATGTTTTTTATGCAATAATACATTTCAAAATGCAAGCGTGTATATGAACCATTTAAAATTAGTACATAAGTGTAAAAACACTTTATCAACATTTTCATGTACAGATTGCCCACAATCCTTTCAGTCTTTATACTCATTTAAACGTCATATTAACCACCATTTAAACGCCCTTAAAAGTTGTGTCCAAGATCATAAAGTAGATAAACCAGATAGACCATTACAACAAGAAATAAGCATTGTACCCACCGAAAATGTAAACAATATTTTAAATGAATCATGTGCAGGTTCTCTCATAGATCATAGCGCAGATATACCTCAGCCAATGTTAAATTGTGCTGATTTGGAAAATGATTATTATGAAATCATGAACCAAATTAATGGTTTTATTATTAATCTTTTTGGCACCATCTCCTTAAATAGAAAAACTGTTATACAAATAGTACAGTTTATTCAAAATTTAATTCTACTTCCTTTAATGGATTATATAAAACAAAAAACAAACCCCGACAGTAAGGACGTTCAGTTAATGATCAATGTCTTGAAAAAAATTACCAATTTATTTGATATGTTTAAATCGGAATATAAATTAAAACAATATCTTTCAAAAAACGACTTGTATTCTGAGCCTATGGAATTTATAATAAACAATAGTTGCACGCCAGACGAAATGTTGAACATTTCGAAAGGTATATTGTTGCCTCTAGAAGATAATATAAGAAGATTTTTAGAATCTCCAAAAGTTTTTCAATCAATGCAAACAAATTTGGAAAAAGTTAATAATCAAAGCGAAATTACTAACATATGCAGTGGTAGCGTTTGGAAAAACAAAATTGATCTAAAATTTGATAACAAATGTGTAATACCTTACTTAGTATATCAAGACGACTTTGAAATCAACAATCCATTGGGATCAAAAAGCGGAGTTCAAAAACTTTCAGCTGTATATATTACTTTTCCGTTATTAAATTCTGAAGATATTTCTAAATTGAATAACATTTTTGTAGCGTGTCTTACACGGTCATCAAGTTTAGAATTTGGCTTGGCTAAAAATTTTGGACCTCTTTGCTCTCTTTTAAAAAATTTAGAGGAAAATGGTATACAAATTACTATTAATTCCAAACCTAAACGCGTATATTTAATTTTATCTGCTCTAGTAGGAGACAATTTAGGCTTAAATACTATAATGGGGTTTACACGGTCTTTTTCTGCAAACTTTTTTTGCAGAATTTGTCGATCTCACAAAGATGAAATGAAAAAACAAACGGTAGAAAACAAACTTGTCTTAAGGACGGCAGAAGACTATTGGCAACATTTATTTCAAAATGATGTATCTCAAACAGGAATCAAGGAAATGTGTGTATTCAATGCTATACCATCGTTTCGTGCCGCAGACAACATATCGGTAGACATAATGCATGACATTTTTGAGGGGATTTGCCACGTAGAACTTTGTCAAATTTTAAATTGCTTTGTATATGATAAAAAATATTTTACATTATCAATTTTAAACAACCGAAAAGCAAACTTTCAATATCATCGTTCTGATTATGGTAATAAATCTGTTTCTATTACAGTGAAAAACCTAAACAGCAATAAGCTAAAAATGTCTGCTAGTGAAATGCAGTGCTTTTTACATCATTTACCATTATTAGTTGGAGAGCTGGTACCAGTGAAAGATCCAGTGTGGGCCTGCCTCCTCTTGCTTATAAAATTAACAAATCTATGTTTTCTTCCATCGTATAACGAAAATACATTGAATAAACTACAAAACACAATAAAAAATCACCACGAGCTTTATTTGGATCTTTTTCAAAAAGAACTTACTCCTAAGCATCATTTTGTGGTGCATTATCCAAATGTTATACGTAAACTAGGACCTTTAAAAGGATTGTGGGTAATGAGACAGGAAGCTAAGCACAAACAAGCAAAATTATATTTAAACAATATTGCGTGCAGAAAAAATGTTTTAATGAGTGCAGCAATCAAGTGGCAATTTAATTTGGCCGGACATTTACATTCTCTGCAAATGAAATATCAAACAGATTTATTAATGGGAGAATATTTTGACCTGAGTGAAAAAGTTTTTAATGTTAACTTTGATAGTATAGAGTTTAATTCCAATTTGTTGAAAAACGTTTTATGTTGTTCTAAAGTACATGTATGTAACACAAAATATCAATTAAATGATGTTGTTGCTATCAATTCTAATGGTTTAATATCCTTATATTCTATAGATTTTATTATTTGGGTTGAAGGAAATTATTATTTTCTTACAAAATCTATTCAAATTAAACGGTATGATAAACATTTACTATCTTTTATTGTTGAAAAGCCAACTTCCAATATTGACACTATATTAATGTGCAATAAAATTATGTACCCACCGACAAATGTGGTAACGTTATATGATAAGTCGATGGCTATTAAATTAAAACATTCTTTTGGATTTCAAGTTTAGTGCATGGAAATGTTTACAACATTGTTTGATAAAAAAATTATATACATGTAGACTTTTGAAAGGTATTAATGCATAGTTCTAAACGTAATTAGTGTGTTTAAATAGTATACTTAAGTTAAATTTAGTACTAAAACTTTTTCTGTTTTTTGTATCTTACTTAAAAAAAATAAACAGTTATATTTTAATAGTGTTTTTATTTATTAAATGTAGTTTAAATATCTAATCAAAATGTTTTACACGCTTCTTTAATTTGAACAAAACATTAGTAAAAATGTCTAGTTTATATTAATACATTAGTCATAACAAGTGTCTGAAACTTCAAATAATAGTTAGATATTTTATAAACAAAAAGGTAAATTAACTAAATCACAAGAGTCGAGTAAGCTAAATAATATGTCTAGTATTTAAAAAAAATTAGACAATTTTCTTAAATTTAGTAGTTAAATGAAACAATTATGTAGTACCATATATCTATTCAAATTTATAATGACAATTATTCTAATTAATTGTTTTTACTATTCGAGTAGATAAAACAATCACATTTCTTAGTAGAAAAAATACAACTATCTAATTAGATTAAATGCCTAACTGCATTTTTTGGCTAATTTTTATTGAAAGATTTTAGACAATGAATCTAATCTTTTTTTAGTTGATCTACGTAATTTTTTTCCGTGTACTTAGAAACTGTAAGACAGCAACTGTCATCTTCATCTCCGCCGCCGACAGCGGACAACTTAAACAAAAGTGTGTTGTGGAAATCTTCAAAGAACCAAAATACGATTGATAACGAGGCTACATTGACATTATTATCTCTGCGTAAAGAAGTCGATGCAGAATTTGCCGACAAAAGAAAAAGTAAAAAAATCCTTTGGGGCAAAATTGCAAAAACCATGAATGAAATGGGGTTTTACGTAGGAGATGGGGAAATAGGTGCAGAAAAGTGCAGACAAAAAATTGCAAATTTACAAGCTTCATTTGTCAAAACGAATGATAGAAGAAAGCGAACGGGTGAAGGGAAAATTAAAAATCCCCCTTATTATGATGAACTGTTTGAGATATTTGGGGATAAACATAAAACAAACCCAGTAATGATAATTGATTCGATTGCGTCAACAGCAGAAGCAAGTAGTTCTTCGGCTGAAGCAAGCACAAGTTCTTGTGCCGAAGTAGGGAGAAGTTCTCCAGCCGAAGTAGGGAGTTCTCCAGCCGAAGCAGGGAGAAGTTCTCCCGCTGAAACATGTACAAGATATTCAACACCATCAACTCCAAACCGATTCACACAAATTAAAAGTAGTGTCCGGCAGAATAAGGGTTCTGCAGTAGTGGAAGTACTGAAACAAATTCACAAAGAAAATTTAGAACAGAGAAAAGAGGAGTTTACACAAATGATATCTCTGATTCAGAGGCAAAATGAAATGAGACATGAGCAAATATTGGCTTTAATCAACTCACAAAAAAATAAGAAAAAAAAACATGTACACAGTTCAGACTCAGATTAGTTCATTATTCATTTTATAATACTTATTATTTTTCAGAATACATAATACTTTCTCTTATCTACACAAAATCAAGGCATAAATAAATGTTTGGTTATAAAGTAAGTGCTATTTCATCTCGTTTCTGCCCAGCGTTGAGATTAGGTCTGCCGTTGTTTGCCTCATTAGCATGATTGACTAGTGGTTCATACACATCCCAATAGTCGCTATTAATATAGCAAAAGTTGTGTAATACACAACAAGCACCAATAATTTTGATTGCCTTCTCAACACTGTTGACATTAACATATTTCAATATTCTCCACCTTGATTTTAAAATTCCAAAGGAGTGCTCAACTACAATTCTTGTGATGCTATGTAAATTATTGTAACGTCTTTGAATGTGATTTAAATGTCCACGATCTCTGTATGGTGTCATCAGCCAACTATACAAGGGATAAGCAGAGTCTCCAACCAGGTGGTAGTTGTTATAAAAATATTTGCGGTGATTTCCCTGTTCTTCACATTCTACAAATAAACACCCTGCTATCATGAGCAGAACCAGGGAAACCAACCATGATGTTTGTAAATGTTTTTTGTGATGTTAAAATCGCTTGAAGTTTAATAGAGTGCTGCATTTTGCGATCTATGTAGCTTTCTTGGTGTTCCACGGGCGGTTTAAAACATATATTGCAAACATCTATCGCTCCAACAACTCCTGTAACATTATTTTATTATGACAGAGCATATTTTCTAAGGAATTTACCTGGAAATCCACATCGCTCACGAAAATCTAGTTCAACTCTCGACACTTCTGCAAGATCAGGCCATGTAATATATCTTGATTGTAAAGATAGTAACTTTGAAAGTAAAAAATTTGTGTCTCTCCCTTGCCTAACCACCAAATTGTTAACAAGAGCTGTTTCCGAGCAGGAATTTGATGTTCTCCTCCAGTGTAGGGCTTGTTTAACTCCATACAATTTACTTTTTCAAAAAGGTTGTTAAATGTGGTTTTACTCATACGGAATAAATTAAAAAAATCCGAATCCAAATACACATCCAGTACCTCGTAAAATCCTTTAATTCTCAAATGCTGTTCATTTTGTAGCATTAATAATGCAGAAATAAATGAATGTTCATTATTATCGTTTGAATGTTGTATTACCCTTAATAAATAGCAACATCATTGATTCGGTCTCGAATTCAGTAATGTAATGTAAAAGTTGATTTTGATCCATTTCACTTATGTGTGGAAATATAGGTTATGTTTACATTTAAAATGGTTTAAAAACATCCATTTTAGCGATCACTTAAACCAATGACGTCACAGTGAAATCGGTTCGAATTACTGTTTCAAACCAATCGCTCGCTAAAAAACAGCTAATATAAACTAAAGGCAATAAGCTCCCCCACCACTCTGGCAGCGCGCTCTTAAATTAGAGTGTATTTAGATACAATCACATTACATTATTTAACACAGAGAATTTAAATTACATGTTTACAAATTACAGAAGTGAGTGGAACTTACGCTTTGTAGATGTCAACACTTTGCAGAAATATCTTGAGAACTAAATTTTTTGTTCCAAGAGGTAATAAAACTGCTTCAGCAAATTGTCACACAAGTTTTTGACAACAAACCCAATCTACACGTCCGTTCCTTGTACATAGCTGGTATGACAGATTAGTTACGTTTACATACCTGTTACATTTCACTGAAGGCTCTAAAGTATATTTATTTGTTACTTTAATAGCAATTGTGCGCGCACTTCCATTTTAACCATAGAAGTAAAATGCAACTCTATGATTTTTTCTGTCGGTTCTGTGGTCAATGGTCATCAAGCAGTGCAGAAAAAAGTTGTGGTGTGTGTGCAAAAAAAATTACATGCCGCTTTTATCTCGTTCCTGAACTGAATCAAGCGGTTCATCATGTCTAAAAGGTAAGATACTGTTCTTTAGCTGTTTCTGATGGGTATAAGTATAATAGGCCTTTCATTACAAAATCATACATAACCTATATCTAATTAATTGGCGGTTGGCGCGAATTTCTTTGTTCTTCGCGTTGGTGAATGCTTTGGAATAATTAGCGCCACTCAGGCCCTTGTATTGTAGACAAATTGGCGTATCTTTGATTTTAACATTTGTAAAAATGACAAAAAAGTTGTTTTGCGAAGTCTCGAGTAGGCAAAATCGCAGAAGAATTCTGAAAGAACTTACAACCAGTTCGATTGTACCCGAAAGTAATTGTGTAAATGCTATTAGTGCTGATACATATGCTGATTGTTTGTCATTACCACTTAGTTCGAATCGCAGCACTTCGGGAGAATTTGAAAACACTAATTCTTTACTTACCTCCGTGCATAGTACAATAACTTGTGATAGCAGTGAAATTAGTGACACTACTAGTATCCGTGTTTGTGAAACCAACTGTGAACTGATAACGGAGAACCATAATGAATCCTTTAGTCTTTCAGAGTTCAAGAATAAATTGCGTTCTTGGGCAAGTTTTCATAGTGTTTCTCACATGTCAATTAGTAATCTTTTAAGCATTTTAAGAACAGTAAACGTTTTAAGTTGTAACGCCCCGTGTATATTCATTAGGTAGATTAGATAGGTTAAATTGTTTTCTTTTGTTTAGTTCAATTTAGTAGATACTTTAGCGTAGGTTAGAATATAGATTTTACGGAATTCGAAAAAAAAGGGTCCGGCAATAACATCACACGTGTGTCCACCGGTCATGGGACAGTTACGTTAAAACCAATAAGACAACATAAACAACCCCGTGTCAGCATTTCTGAGTAAATCGACCTGAACCAAAAATATAAAGTGTCAGATCTAGGCGGGTATGTATTAGACTTTGCTATTGGGGGCGTCAAGAGGTCCTTTCTCGCTTAATTAATTCTCTAATTTTTGGTTGCTATTTATTACCGAAACTAACAGGGCTCATTTATACTATGTCCCATATATAATTCGAATCGAACCGTATCGATCGCTAACAGCGGCGATTCCTGGAAAAGGGAATTTTTTTTGTGGTAAAGCGGACGGAGAATTGTAATTTAATTTGAACCAATCAGGGCGATTCGGCCTCAAGGAATTCAAAGTTAATTGGAGATTTTGGGGCGCGTGGTAAAATTCGGGCGTGTCAAAAGGGAAATCACAGGGGGATAGTTTGAAAGTAAAGAGGAGAATTATCGCGGCGATCGTGGAAGTCACCACGCCGCCGATAATATAGGTTTTGCTTGAATTTTCCGGTGAAGTACAGACGCCGGGAACTATTTGGTGAATGTCAGAAAGTGGCACATCGCGAAGGCGCTACCCTGTACCTAAATTAAATTGTTAAGTTCCGCGTCCGGCAAAGGGTTTTGGTACGGGTCGAGGTATAAATAAATTGGTTAAGAAGTGATTAGCAAAGGGCGGTCGATACGGTGAGAATCGGTGATTTTAGTGCGGTAAAGGTGCTCACTGGAAATCGTTTCGAGCATAAGCAATAAGTGTCGACTTTTCCCCGGACCACCGGGGTAACCACTATTTACTTGCCCATGATCACACCGACAATAGGCAACGCATTGTATTTCATCGTAACCAAACGACGCGACGGGCCCAGAAGATAACGCGAGTTAAGAGGTCAACCAATTCGCTGAGCCCAACTGCAGGATTGGTCAAGGTTAGTTATAGGCATTTACGTTAATTGCACCGGTAAATACCGGTTTGTACCGAGCGCGTTCTACAATTCATTTCCATCTACCTACCATCGTTCTTTAATGTACCGAACTTTACGGTGTTTATGAACCTGGTGCACCACAAGTGGACCGGTGAATGTTATCGGTTAGAGAGGTGTGGTGCTGTTTTATAACCTCAAACTCCTATAAAATAAAATTATTTCGTTAAGCAACACATAATTAATTTGAAGTATGTGTTCTTTAAACAATTTCCAAGCTGTTGTGGATGAAAGCAACAATGTCATATTTAAGGACAATCAGATTCTTGTGTACAATCCAACAGGTAAGTACCTAATAGGAATATTTTGTGTATTTTTAAGTTATATTTCACCCTAATTACAAATTGATACATGTTTTGCTCCCAATTCAGATGACTGCACATTATATATACCTAATAATGAAGAGACGAGAGCAGCGTTAAACCTGCGAGAAACTACTGAAGATAATGAAGAGAATTTAACGGTTACCGCGGATGATACAGATCAACATGAAGGTATTTTTGCCTCCTTTTATGACACATTGCACTCATAGGTTCTATTAATTTAATACCCACTAAATTTATGCCATAAAAATACTAAGTACCTGGTTATTTATCCACCATGTTTAATGTACCAAATACTGTAGCGCAGTAATTTTTTGCTTTTTAACAAATTAGTCGCGCGAGTGCAAGGTGTCCTAAACTGAAATATAATTCTGCATTGTAATTGCTGCATTATTGATATACATATTGTTGCAGAAACACAACGATGGACCCATGAAAGCACTCTGCTTTTATTGTCTTTATATGAAGATCATATTGGTTCTTTTAAATCGCCAAAGAAAACTAATAAATCAGTTTGGCTTCGAATAGCCAACGAGATGTCAAAGCGAGGGTATTTATTTACAGGAGATCAATGCGATTTAAAATTTAGGAACCTAAAAAAGACCTATAAAAGAATAAAGGATAATAATAAGTCATCAGGAAGAGGGGCAATTGTGTGGCCTTATATGGACATGTTTGAAAGAGTATTTGGGAGTGCACCTGACATAAATCCCAAGGCAACTGTGTCAACATTTGCCACATCATTAAATACTTTAAAATCAGCAAACCTTTCAACAGATAACCATTCAGTTGTATCATTACCTTATCTCTCACCTTCCACAAGTTCGGTAGGATCACCTGGTTCTTCTACGCAAGTAGAAAATAGCAATGAAAGCGAGGTAAGTTAATATTATAACACAATTATAGGTTTTAATAATTTTATGCATGGTACTTCAGTGTCCTGAACCTGTTCGTAATAAACGTCGAAACATGTCAAATGAAGAACCTGCGTGGGTATCGACTCTAAGAAAAGAGGCCAAGGAACGTCATGATGAAAAAATGACAATGTTACGGGAGTTAATAGGACTTCTTAAAAAAGAATAAAAATATTTGATTTTATTAAAATGAAGTTGTGAAATTTACAACTAAACTTAATGTATTTGTTAATTAATTCATTAATAAATCAGCAATATATTCCCTTTTGCCCACTTTTCTAAAATCTTCATCTCCATTATTATAATAATCATCTTTATCTTCAAAGGTATCAACATCAATTTCATCATTGTTTTTCATACATATATTGTGCAACACACAACATGCCAAGATTAAATCAGGGATAAGTTCTACATTGTACATATGAACATGTTTTAAAATTCGAAACCGCCCTTTCAATAAACCAAAAGTTTGTCCCACGTACACTCGTGTACTAGAATGTTTGAAGTTGTAATTTTTTTGTTTTCTGCTCAAATGGCCGTTGTCACGATATGGTGTTAATAAGTAATTAGAGCACTTATATGCAGAATCTCCTAAGATATGTGTATTGTTGGGAAACAATTCACCAGGGTTTTCTCTCATTTTTGTACCTAATGGAGAATTGTAGAAAACTCTTGCGTCATGGACGCTGCCTGGAAAACCTGTTAATATATGAAATTATAAATATCCGTATAATAACAGTAATAAAACTCACCTGCAAAAACATCGAGAAACATGTAGTTTGCATCACAAACGCCTTGTAATATTATACTGTGTTGGCCCTTTCGATTACAATAAGAACCTTGGACATTTCTAGGGGGTGTAATTAAAATGTGACACCCATCTATGGCGCCAATAACTCCTGGAAAGTTCTGACGCTCTTTAAATTTCTCACTTATATTATTTGCTGTAGCACCTGTTGGCCATGAAATATAAATGGAGGACACCTCTTTTAAAGCTTCTGTTACTTTCCGAACATATAACCACGCTGTTGATTTAGAGATGTCAAATTTGTCAGATAATAGTCTGTAAATATTATACGAATTTTTATTCACGTTTAATTTACTAACCTGTACACTGTTTGGTTTGAAAACATGGTTAGCGATACTAGGAGTTGCAAATCAGGCGAATGGCAATGCCGTCCTATCCCTTGTACATTACGTTCTTTTAGAGATGGCCCCAAAACTTGCACCAAATTTTCAAAAGTAATTCTACTTATTCTAAAGTGGCTTTTGAAATCTATAAGTTTGAAATGGAATAATAAATTCTACACGTTGCTAATACATACCATCAAAACTGTAAGCGCGCACTATATTTTCTACATAGTTTCTAATACACACACGAGATTTACGTTCAATCGAGTTATAACTACTACAAACTATTGCAATTAACTCATCATCACTATCATCATCTAAAACTTCATTAAGTACTCCAATAATTACGTTTCTTTTCAAGTTATCCATTTTGTAGAGGTTATGGATTTGAAAACATTTAAATCAGCTGCTGCCTTTGCGTTCGGCAAATATATGGTAAACGGTATGCAGTGGTGCAATCAGCTGGTTACCGCATTGCACCAGAAATTATCTACCGGTATAATTATCGTAAATGCCTTATAAGTTCGTTATTAAGTTCATGTCTGTAGATTTACGTAGGATTAGGTATGTGTATATTTCGTTAATAGGTGGATTTTTTGCTTTATAATAAGAGTTTCAACGGTAGGGTGGCCACCTATTTTTTTTTATTATATCTCACTAGGAGGTATTTCTAGCAAATAGAGTGTTTTTTTTTGTAAGAAATCCTGGAAAGGAAAAGCCTATTCGGTGACCAATTCGTATTTTAATTGTCAGTCAATATACTGGTTAATTTTGCCTAGTGTTTGTTGGTTTTTTTTTGAACAAGTAAATATACCCACCTAGAAGGAGTTTAAAGGAGTTCGTACGACGAATCCGGGAGAGGTTTGCAGTAAGCATCCCGGAAAGCAAGAGGGATTGTAGTGTATCTGAGCTAGTCGATGGTAATAAATATAATAGTAATTGTTGCATCCCACTAAATCTGACAAAAGAACGCAAAATTTAAGTTCCAAGTCCCAATAAAGAATTACAACCCTTTAAGGGAATTAAGCCCCAAAAACAAACAAGCCGTTACAAAGTGGACTTCCACAAGACGCACGAACACTTATGCAAACACCCCGAAATGCAACGGAAAATATAATTGCTTTGGGTGGCGGTGAATTTGTGCATATGGGATTTGTTAAAAGCTTACAATCTTCATTACAAAAACATTACACCTGTCTACCAACAACAGTGAAAGTAAATTTAAACATTGATGGACTACCACTAACAAAAAGCTCGTCTAGTCAATTTTGGCCAATTCTCGGTTCGATAGTGGACTCATTTTATACAAAGCCATTTGTAATTAGTGTATATCATGGTTTTCACAAGCCTTTATCAAGCAAAGACTTCCTTTCTTATTTTGTACAAGAAGCAAGAGATATTTTAGAAAATGGGATCAACTACAATGGAAGTATCATTAATGTGCAGTTAAATGCAATCATATGTGATGCACCTGCCAGGTCCTATATTAGTGGTGTAAAAGGACATAACGGGTACTTTGGTTGTTCAAAATGTATCCAAGAAGGGGATTATGTTGACAATCGTATGACATTCCCGGAAATATCTTCGGTTTTAAGGACTGATGAATCCTTTAGAAATAAACTTCATGTTGAACATCATAAAGATTCAAAGGAAGCAAATATTTTAGAATGTCTGAATATAGGAATGGTAACACAATTCCCTATTGATTACATGCACGCTGTTTGTATTGGAGTCACAAAAAAGTTAATTTACTTTTGGATAAATGGGAAAAAAGATGTGCGTTTGAAGCCTAATGATATTCAAAATGTGACTAATCATCTAAGTCTATTGAAACCGAGCATCACTGGTGAATTTAGTAGAAAACCTCGCAGTATTACAGAATATGAACGGTGGAAAGCTACTGAATTACGCACTTTCTTACTGTATACTGGTCCAGTTGTATTACGAGAAGTTCTTCCGGGCGATTATTACGACCATTTTTTATCATTAAGTGTGGCAATTAGAATCTTATGTGATAAAAATTTGTACATAGTTTTAAATAATTATGCGCACACGATCCTAGAATGGTTTGTAAAAAAATATTCTATTTTGTATGGTGAGCAACATATAGTTTACAATGTACATAGTTTATTACATCTAGCAAATGACAGTAAATTGTTTGGCCCATTAGATGAATATAGTGCTTTTAAATTTGAAAATTTTATGCAAATTATTAAGAAGAAAGTGAAGAATTCTAGTCGTCCGTTACAACAGTTGTTTAATCGATTAATGGAAGAAGAAAGTTTACAAGGGAAGTCAAATTGTACATCTGAAGCAAACAAAATGACTTCCAAACTGTCATTTGAGGGTTTCACAATTTCCCAAAAACCACACGATAACTGCTTTGAACATGAAAATGGAGATGTAATGGAAGTTGTGAACATTTCAATGAAAGATTGCATGATTAATGCTCAAAAATACCAGAAAGTAGAGCCGCTCTTTACTGCACCATGTAATTCTGTGAAATTAGGAATATGTATTGTGAAACAATCCGATTTAAGGCAGGATATTGACACAATTGACAAAAAATGTGTAAAGAGAAAGTGTTTGAAGTTACCTTTATATTTAAATAGTTCCGGCAGTGTGAATGAGCATGCTATTTTTCCGTTAATTCATAGTGACGGTCAGAAAGAGTAAAAGAAATTAATTAGATATGGGTTTAAAAGTGTTATACTTATGTGGTGAATGTGTACATTAGATCAATATATTTTGCCTATACATACTTTTTATTTAAATTTCAACAAATAACTTTAATCGCTTTTACTTTTGTAATCTCATTTATATTTATATATAGTTGTGCACAATGGAAAAAAGACACCAGTTCCAAACAGTATGCTGTAGTTCGCTTCGACGACGAGTCCGTATCGGAGGTCCCTATTACATGGCTCTTCGACAATAATCGCAGTAGTTGGTGGCCGCGCAATTCAAAGGTTGCGACCAGCTACATTAATCGTTATTCACCCCCAGACCCAGATAGTTGGAGTAAATACAGTGTGGTAGCCGTTGAAGCAATTTGTGGTAAGATACCTACATTTTTTTATAGTTCCCGTGGCGTATAATTGATCTTTATAGATTCTCTAGAAGTAGCAAGGAAGAAAGCTGAAGATATTCACTACAGTGAAGGTGAAGATAAAGATCGGGGACGTGGAAAACGATTGGTACAACGGAGCACATTACTAAGCAATTTCATCGATGGCTCTAATAATGGATCAAGCGATAGTGATGTTGAAGCTAGAACGAAACGTAAGAATCTATTAAATATTATTCACTTTTATTAATACTCGGTTAATTTTAGGAATACTTACCCCACCTCCTGAGCTGCCACCGGATCTTGACATATCCTCAATGGAAATGGTTATTTTAAACAAAAATACAAATATTGATACAATGAATGAACAATGTAAGTATATCCTCATACATAATACATACATTTACTTCGCCATCAATGGTAGTTCCACACGGAGAATATGCAGAAGATGAGTATGTCGAGGAGTATGCGGAATCTTATGCCGAGTCCCAAGAAGTACCAGTAAACCAATTTAATTCCCAATCCATTAATCGTAATGGAAATTATGGTAAGTCAAAAATATTACACAACATTTTGATAATAATTCTGTTTTATAGAAATCAGTGTGATGCACAAAATATTAGAAATGGTAACAGAAATAAAAATTCAAGTCAACGATATTGCCAGAAATATGCAGAGTTTCAAAGTAGACAAGCAGCCCGTTGAACAATACGACATATTTACCAAATGCCTGCCCTTAAATAGTTTTGAAGCGATTGAGAAGTTTGAGGAATTAATAAGCGACCTTGAAATCAACAAATTATTTGTAAGTTAATAATTGCATAATCTTTCTAGTTGAAGGTTCTTAAGTATAGA